CGTTGCGTAGAGTATGAACCTCATTCTGTAACGATACTACCATCTCACGTAGAGCGGTAACCTCACCACGTAAAGTAGACACCTCCACACGCCATGCACCATTGTTATCAAGTAAAGTACCGATCTCCTCACGCAAGGCATTGACCTCATCACGTAACTCCCTTGACTCATCCCGTGGAGGTGGAGAATAGAGAGATAGAAGTCGTGGCATCTTTGTCGGTCGCCTATCATGAGGTGATGGTGGAGAAGAGGCTCGATGATGTGACGGGATAGGTGATGGCTCTCATTGTAGAGGTGTATAGTCGGGTCAATCAGGTGATGGCTCTAGGTGAGGTGATGGCTCTCGAAGTGGAGGAAGTAGAGGCTGCTCATCATTCGTGCCATCAAGAAAACGCTGACTAGCTTGCCACCAATCAGTGGCAAGCTCAGCCTCCGTGGGTGTCAGTCTCATTAATGGAATGTTGGCCTCCTAAAAATATAAAAACTCAAACAAAGTTAAACGTCTAATATTAATAACTTGTTTATATATGATAGTATTTGTGTTAACTTACATTATTTATTGTCGCATATGGTATTAAGTCTTCCCAATCCAACAGACGTTTCCTCTTCCAGGAAATAGCCCTGGGAATATCATTTGAAGTTTTTATTGCATATGTCTTCATGGCGGGAAAGGCCTCGAATATCCAAATCTACAAACAATATAATAACAAACATTAGTAATTGTTAAATAATTAATTATAATTTTGAAAACATTATATAGAAATTCTTACCTTAAAGGCCCAAACAAAGCCTGACAAAGTGTATTTCGACCCATCGCCCCGCAAACTTTTACGGTCATCAAAGGCAGACGACAACTTAGTCCAGGTAGCTTTCCATATATACGAACCCCACAGAAACAGATTCCATGCATTTAGGTCCTCTACCAATAATATTTGCTCCTGAGGAATAGGTTGTCTGGCCTCTCTGCCTAAAAAGTCGGCATACAAAAGTAGTAGAAGGCATACTCGGACAATATCGACGTCATTCATCCGAGTAAAACCATCTTTCTTATTAAACAATTTCTTCATGTCGTCGACGTGTAAGTTTGGCTTCTCTATTGACTCATCAGGAAAAACCCTGGATAACCATGATGGGCGGGTGATATGACGAGTGTACCGGCCTACATCATCGTGTCCGAATCGTAGACCAGTGATTAAGCAGAACTCCTTCCGCCCAAAACAAGTATACGCCGGTGGAAAATGAAACAATATCTCTTCCTCACCACGTTGTATACTGTCGGGTAGATCGCTAGTCATGGTCTGAAGCCACAAATGGGTCAAACTAGCATCTCCACCCGGATGCTGTACTCTCAGCCATGGCCCGAAGCAGGTTTCTTCAAACAATTTTCTTTGTGCAGGTGAAAGCTTCGAAGCAATTGTAGTGGCTAGGCTAACTTTATTCCTTAATGTCAATGAAGCCGAAAAAAATTTCTACAAAAAAACAATAAACATACCAAGTTAGATATACCAAAAATTACACTGTCAAGATATACCAAAAACAAAACAATAAACATAAATAGTAGTTTATTCTTGAAACTAAAATTTGCAACACTGCTTTTGTCTTTTGGTTGAAATGAAAATCGCAACGAGATAATGAGAATCGCAACGCGGAAATGACTATCGCAACGAGAGAATCGCAACGCGAAATGACTATCGCGACCAGACAATCGCAACGCGAAATGAAAATCGCAACCGCGAAATAAAAATCGCAACGCGAAATGAAAATCGCAACGCGAAATAAAAATCGCAATGCCATTTTTGTTTCGCGTTGCGTTTTTTTATTTCGCGTTGCGATAGTTATTTCCGCGTTGCGATTTTCATTCTCGAAACTATTCTTCTTCTGCATTACTTCAACCAAAAGACAAAGCAAAGACAAATACTAACTTCACAGGCTAAACAGTTTAGCAGTATTGGCAGCAATCGAATGAATTTAATAAGAAATCTAAGTGAAATGGTTAATCTATTATTGAAATTACCAGTAAACTTATCATCAATCTCAATATGAAAAACCTAAAATAATGCAAAAATTTTCAAAATAAAAATAAAAAAACTAACCCTCGGAGGTTGATTTTCCATTTCTAAATGATTGTGAGGGATTTTTGACTGTGAATGGTTGTGAGGGATTTCGCCGGCGATGGGGACGGAAATCTTCGGAGATGGGGACGGATTTCGTCGTAGAGAGTGAGAGATGGAGATGGGGCTGAGTGTTGTGTTTTTGGGTTTGAGGTTATGAGTTGCGATTACTGTGGACGGTTCAGTTTCCGATTTATTAAGAAAAAATTCGTGTTTGGAATTTGAAAAAAAAATACGCGTTAATACGAATGGCGCTATGTAAATCGCGTTGCGAAAGTCAGAATCGCGTTGCGAAAGTCAGTATCTCGTTGCGATTTTTTATTATCGCATTGCGATAGTAAGTATCGCATTGCGATAGTCAGTATCGCATTGAGTATAATTTCCTTTTATCTAATCTAAATGCATTCTTATATTCGAAGGTCAAATCCTTGTACATTATTATTCAATACATATTCAATCATCATTCATCACCATTCACAAATATAATATGCATTCTTTATGCGAATCTTACATGTATGTGATAATAATAATTAATCTTTTAAAAAACAATAAACATAATGATTATGGAATAGTTAAATTCATTGAGTGACCTTAATGATAAAAAAGAGATTGTTATTTTTTCTAGAGGACTCTAGTTTAAACAATTGTATCTAAATGGTGTATTTGAGTTGTTGATTGTTAAGAAAGATTCTGAACATACACTACATTGTAATTATCTCAAACTATTCATAATAATAATAATAATAGATTAGATGAACTTATTGAGCGATCTCATTGATAAAAGAGAGTATTGTTTTTCTTAGAAGATTCGAATTTAAACTGTAGTTCAAAAAAATTCTAAATATATACTACATTGTAATCGTCCTAAACTATTCAAAATAATAATAACAATAGAGTAGATATCGACCTAATATTTGGATGCTATTAACGTTTTTATTCCACCAACCCATATACATATTTATTTCAACTACGTGTCTTTTTTCCATTTGAAATTTCAAAAGAAAGAAAGAAAGAAAAGCACATGTAAACAACCAATGGACAGGCTCTTCCTTTTTGAAAATGTATATATTTATGGCAAAACCAGCCGACGAGAACACCGGAAAACCAAAGAGACAAGTAAAGAAACATTATTAAGCTATCACAATTTCATTCAACTTCTTTAAGGTAACTACAAAAAGTAAGACTTACCTACTACACACATTTTATAATCTAAAGCATTCTCTTACACAAATGGAAATTCCTACCAACTGAGTTTACATTCTTTCAACCCAAATCAGATTTTTTTTCTTCCAAACTATATAAATATTGTATAGAAAAAGTGGCTGCTAATTCTATTCAAAATTGGTCTTATATTATATTTAAGTAATACTTAGGTCTCCTCTAATATTATAATTGGAAGTTTTCTTTTCTGTCAAAAAATACTTTTAGAACCATAAGTAATGCTAAACATGCATTTTTTAGAGAAAATAAATATGTTTAAACAATATTTTCCAATCCAAATAAAAAATGTTAAATATTTTAATTTTTGTGTATGAAAATTACTTTTTGAGTCAAAATTATAATTTTAACCTTCATTTGTTATCGTATGTAGGTCTGTAAACGAACAGAACGTTCAGCGAACCGTTCGGCGGGAAATTCGTTTATGTTCATTTATTTATTAAACGAACGAACATGAATAATATTTTGTGTTCATTTAATTAAATGAACGAAAATGAACAGATGGCTCGTTCGTTCATTTACGTTCGTGAACATTCAATAATATGTTTGTTCATTTATGTTCGTTTATCTGCGTTCATTTATGTTTAGCCCAATCTATCTAAACTCATTTAAAATATTAAAACCCAATAAATTTTAATTTGATACCTATAAATATTTTAAAATTCAATTAATTTTAAATAAAAATAAAAAAACCCAAAAAATTAAATAAAAATATAATCCTAAAATTGTTAGGAAAGAAAATTTTTTATTTTAATTTATATTTGTTTATGTTCATTTATTGTGTTCGTTTACATTTATTCGTTTGTGTTCGTTTACGTTCGTTTATTGTGTTCGTTTATGTTCGTTCATTTGTGTTCGTTTATAATTTAAATGAACGAACATGAACAAGCTACATTCCTTAACAAATGATTACGAACAAGAAATTTTTTGTTCGTTTATGTTTATATTCGTTCATTTGTTCGGTTAAAGTTAAACGAATGAACATGAACATACCTCCGTTCGTGTTCGTTCGATTCGTTTACAAGCCTAATCGTATGATATGTTTATTTTATAAGTTATAAAACTATTTTTTATCAAATTATAATTATATGACAATAAAATATTGACGGGTTTTAAAAAATTATTACGTCTTATCAATAATTTTTTAGAGAAAAATTATTTTAAATTTTTTATAGAATACATACAATAATTATATATTTTTATTTTTTATCATAATTTAAGTTGATATATTTTTTGTAAAATAAGTTGATATATTTTATAGGGCTAGGATCTAATTACATAGCATAAAACTAAAAAGTATTACACCTTTTTAGGATCATTGGATGAGAGAAAATCAAATGTTGAAATTAACAATAGTAAATAATAAGATATTAACCGGAAAAAAACAATAAGTTAATCTTGACCTTTGATTTTATCTCATCTAACGATCCTAAAAAAGTGTAAAACTTTTTAATTTTACACTATGTAATTAGATTTTAACTCTATTTTATATATTATAATATTAAAGAATATATATATATATATATATATAAGTATACAACACCACATGTTAATGATGCTACTGAACACTTTTATCAAAAATAAACTTTTCGAAAGTATATTTTAAAAACAATTTAAATTATATGTATAGTAAAAGCGTTCACTTGATATATCAACATGAAAGGCATCGGCTTGGCATATTAAACGCGCTTACACAAACCAGAACCAGACATTAATTATTTCATCATACAATAAACAAACCGATCTTGTTGTAGAAAACACAGGGTCTTAGTTAATGTAGTACGCTGGAACACAATACGAGGAAGATGACCGAAAATCATACATTGTTGAGCATGGCATCCACTGTCTCTTGTATCACCTTCCAAGCCATGATAACATGTTTATCCTCCGTAAGACTGGCCCCAATGGCAAATCTTATCATGTAAATTTCATCGACCTGTGCATGAGTAACGTATATGTGTCCCGCCGCGTTGATCGTCTCTAATAATTTCTTGTTAAATTCGTTCGTACGCGCGTTGTTGTCTTCGTTATCACGAAACTGTAATGCCGATGGCGAAATCCTAAAACACACCATAGCGAAATACCTGGGGACGATGATTTCAAACCTATCGTCTGTGATTACGAGCTCTTCGAAGCGTTTCGCCATTTTAACGTGACTTCTGAGGAAGTTTCTGAGGTTGGCCACACCATAGCTTCTCATCACAAGCCAGAGCTTCATGGCTCGGAACCTTCGGCTGAGAGTTATCTGCCAGTCTTTGTAGTCCACCACTTGTTTCGAATCGGTAGCTTTGTTCCGGAGATACTCTGGGTTGGTGGAAAGCGATTTTATGAGACTGCTTGGATCCTTCACCCACATGCAACAGCAGTCCAATGTGGTGAAGAACCATTTATGTGCGTTGAGACTGAAAGAGTCTGCTCCTTCGACGCCATCGATAAAATGCCGAAACTCGGGACAAATACAGGCACTTCCTGCGTATGCAGCATCCACATGAACCCACATACCGTATTCTTTTGCCACATCGCATAGCGGAATCAACGGATCAACAGCGGTGGTCGATGTTGTCCCGATCGTGGCACAGAGATATAGCGGGATAAGTCCAGCTTTCACGTCTGTGCTTATTGCATGTCGTAATGATTCAGGTGACAGACCGAATGCAGCTGATCTTCTTGTCCTGATGGCTCTGAAATTTTTAGGGTCAATACCGGCGATTTTAGCTGCCTTTGCTAGAGCACTATGTGTTTGATCGGAAGCATAGACGACCAATTTCCCGATGTTCTCCCTCCCAACTTTGAGAAACATCCGATCTCTCGCGGCTGTTACCGTACATAAAATGGCCTCACAAGTTGTTCCTTGCAAAACGCCCCCTCCGTTCCCGGAGAAAAGGAACTCACGAGGAAGATCAAGCATTTGTCCAAGCCAATCCATGACAATGGATTCCAGCTCGGTCGCAGCCGGTGACGATATCCAGTTGAATCCGACCACATTGAAACCCGTGCTAAGCATTTCACCGAGGAACCCCGCCACGCTACCACTCGAAGGAAAATACGCAAAATAGTTCGGACTTTGCCAATGAGTTATTCCGGGGATAATATGTTGCTGCACATCTTGAAGGATCGCCTCCACCGGCTCGGCGACATACGGTGCCGTTGTCGGCAACCGTTTCGGGAGGTATCCCGGTTCGACCTGACTCAGAACCGGGTACTTGTCGATGTTCTGATAATAATCAGCTAGAAAATCAATGATCATGTGGCCTTGCCTCCTGAATTCCTCAGGATCTAGGGGGTTAACATTATTGCTAAAACCGTTTTCTAGTTCATTCAATGATGCAAGGCTGCCCATTTGAACAAGTTTAACACTTAAAAGCTTTAATTTGTCGTCTGTGTTGCTGGTTGCGGTGCGATTTGTTCCTCTCTGGACCTGCTTTATATAACTTTCGACACATACCTAAACCATGTATTGATTATAATTTATTTTAATGTGTTAGGTGGAAATATTTATTTATGAAAAATCCCGATTTTTCTTGGTAATTACCCGTTGGGCAGGTTGATCAACCTTCAACGTTCAGCCATGCATGCATATTGCTAGTAAACCAGAACACTTGGCAATTCTTCGCTTTATTATTAGTTTTGATTTATATACACTTAATTATTAATTGCATCATATCATACGTATGATATTTGTTGGGTTGGCACCATGACATGACAATCACATGTGTAGACTTTTTATTAGGTTGACATTTTTAACCATTATATTGATTTCCTAATTAACACATTCCTTAACCAATTTCGCTACTCATAACATCAATACTCTAATTACAATTAACACTATGCATAAATAAATGGATAAAATATGTAGAGACCATTTTCGTAAGGAGATTTTTTAATAGGTTTTGTTTTTTTTAATTATTATTATTATATTAAGATGAATTTGTCACACTCGACGAGCACCCCCTAATGACGAGCATTATTAATTTAGTTTATAAAAATTTAAAAGGTAAAGTATAGTAATGGTCATTGAATATTTCTGAAGCTTGCGTTTAGGTCCCTCAACTTTTAAAACTTGCAATACAGTCCCCCAACATTTAATCCGTTTGTAATATGGTCCCCGCACCTATGAAAATTAGGGTAAATTATATAAATGATCACTGGACTTTTTAGGTACTTGAATTTAGGTCCCCCAACTTTTAAAACTTACAAAACAATCCTCAATTTCATTCTAAACCACAAATTCCAAAGTAATTCAATTTCATTCTAAACCCTAAATTCCAAAATAATTCAATTACATTCTAAAACCCAAATTCTAAAATACTTCAATTTCTGTCTTTTTTATAAACGACGCCAATGTCACTAAATTATTAATTAATTTACTTTTTATATTTAAAAGCATATGATAATTTTCTAATTTTAATTTAAAGACATGAAATTTTTTCAATAGTAAGAATATATGATAATAATTCATTTATTTAAAAATAAATATATTTCTGATTATTTGTGTATGTTTTTATATCTAATCATACGAGTTAATATATTTTATATCTTTCATATAAATATTAAGACTACATAAATAGCAGAGTCAAAAATTTATATATGAGTTATGTTAATTATAGTAATGATGTATAAATATATTTTATTTTTATATTATTTCTATTATAAATAAAATATAAATATTACCATGATAATTAAATATTTATTTACTTATTACATCGAATTTGTTTTGTAGAAAAATTATTTAATAAAATCATAAAAAACACAATAAAAAATAAACACTGAAGTTGACTACTTCAAAAATAAAATAAAAAAATCAATAATTTAATATAATATACCCTAAGTTGATGATAACAATCAACTCAAAAGAGATGAGGTTTGTGCCATGTTTTTGTAACGTACGTAAACTTTCTATTTCATGGTCATGTATTCTTTTAGTTCTAGCACGATCTATTTTTTAATTTTCTAATACACTTAACAAAATTATATTATAACTCATTAAGTGATTTCATAGGTAAAAAATGTTATTTTCTTTAAAAGTTTTAAATTCAAACAATTGTGTTTGTAGGGTATATCTATATTATTAATAAATTAAAAAAATTGAATAAATAATATCTTATAATCACATCGAACTATTAAAAAACTAAATTATAATTGAAATAAATAAAAATTATAAGGATGTCAACTGGGGATTTTGATTCTTAATTTTTTCATTGAGAGATTGTGTTTTTTTATTCAATTTCTTCCATAATCATTTTTTATATTTAAATTATTGAAGGTCACTAAATTTACATTTACAAGGAGGGAGTGTATTTTTTTCTTCACAAAAGTAAAAAAATCAAAACGTTATCACGTTCTTAAAGATAATCTAGTATATTCCTCCTTAAATTGAAATATTTTAGAATTTGGGTTTTAGAATGTAATTGAATTATTTTGGAATTTAGGGTTTAGAATGAAATTGAATTACTTTGGAATTTGGGGTTTAGAATGAAATTGAGGAATGTTTTGTAAGTTTTAAAAGTTAGGGGACCTAAATTCAAGTGCCTGAAAAGTTCAGTGACCATTTATATAATTTACCCTATTTTTCATAAGTGCGGGACCATATTGCAAATGGATTAAATGTTGGGGACTGTATTGTAAGTTTTAAAAGTTGAGGGACCTAAATGCAAGCTTTAAAAATGTTCAGTGACCATTACTATACTTTACCCAAATTTAAAATTCTAAAAAACCATACGTATAATTGTAAATTAGTTAAAAATCTAAAAAGTAAAAAAATAAAATAAAATATTAATTATATTATTTTCTATACACTTTTTTTGGTAAACTATACATTGACCACATAATTATTGACCATTTTCATTCTGACAACCATTTTTAAAATTTTATCAATCAAGTCGCTCAACTATTTAAACACATTCAATCAAGTCACTTGTCGTTTACATTTAATGGAATAGTTGATTAATAAAATTGATATAATTACATATTTAATCTTGATTCCTTACGTGATCTATTAAATTGGTCATAATTCATGTCACCAGAAGGAAAATAAACTGAATCAAGAAGCTACCAGAGAAAGTTAAACTTGAGTTTCCAAAGTGGATTAAGTAACTTCTACCACTTCGCCAACACTAGTTCTTAATATAATATTTACAACATTTGTTATTTATCTGATACTATAATGAAGGCTATATAAAAATAAAAGTAACAATAAAACAGCTCGAACCTTGATCTATTACTAGGGATAGGAACGGGGTAGGGCAAGTCAGTTTTTTTGCATCCTCGACCTCAACCCAAAAATATATTATTTATACCCAACCCTGTCCGACCCAATTCAAATATATTAATATTTTAAAATAGTTAAAATAATATATTTATAGTTATTTATTATATTTTAAATAGTTAAAATAATATATTTATAGTTATTTATTATATTTTAAATAGTTAAAATAATATATTTTACCTTAAATCCGACCCGATTCAAATATATATATAAAAGGATAAACTAATAATTTATATCGGATTTGATCAGGTCGATAATTTTTCACCTTAAACTTGTTCATGTCCCACCCCAAAGCTATCTCTTATATGACATGCCTGATACCCAAATTTTCAACAACAAAAAAACGACCCCTATTGGATCAAGTTGGATCAAAGTCCGCCTGCTTCGTATTAAATTGTCATTTTTGGTTCGATTTTTCTAAAATTTTTGGTATGGGGGACGCAGAATGAGTTATATAATAGATAACTTCAGGCGGGGTAGGGTCGGGTTTAAGGTGAAAAATACCGACCTAACCCAACCCAGTATAAATTATTAGTTTACTCGTTTATATATTTATTATATTCGAATCTGATCGGATTTAAGATAAAATATATTCCCTCTTCTTTCTTCTCTCCATAGTTTTAAAATATGAGTGTAATTATAAAAATGAAAACCTTTCATCTTCTCTCCTCTCCCTAATTTTTTAAATTTAAGTGAAATTTTATAAATAAAAACATTATATTTTCTCTCCCTAGTTTTTAAAATTTTAGTGAAATTTTTAAACAAAAATCTTCTCTTATCTCTTCACCTTCTACATCTTTAATAATAGTTTACACTTATTGATATTTTAAAATTATTTTATATAACCTAATGTAAATATAATAAAATTAATAACCAATAAATGAATAATTTAACATTAATAATTTTAATAAAAGAATTAATAATTTAAAATTATTATAATGGGTATAAAAATATAAACGATTTATTTATTACAATGTATATACAGTTAAAACTCTATAAATTAATAATGTCAGGACCAGAGAAATTTATTAATTTAGAGAGTTATTAACTTATCGATAAATTAATAATTATTAATTTAAAGAGTTTTTAAGTAATTATACTATACATACCAAACAAAAAGGCAAATTAGTCTATGCCTCTTAGAATTACATTGCAGCGAATCTTGGGACTCAACGTAAATTAGTAACTATGTACTGTGTTCATATGCATTGGAAATCAATAATGACTTTTGAAGTACAGTAAATGTAAACAAGAGGAACAGTGTGTTCAATGTATTCTTAAGCAAGTTTGGCATATATAAATTACATGAATGTGTTAGAGTATTCAAACCATATCTCACAAGATGGCTTCTCATCTAAAAGGTGTTGCAAAATCAACTATGTCAGATCAAATACGTAAGGAGTTGTGTGAGTACAAGAGAGATAAACCTATAAGCACACAAAAAGACTTGCAGAGATGGCTTGAGGGAAAATTTCAGTTGAAAGTTAGTCAAGGAACAATATCAAACACACTTAAGCGGTCAGATGACTATCTCTCTGCTGAAATAGAAAAGGGAAGAGCAGAGATCAAAAGACACAAACCAGCAAAATATCCTGACATGGAGAAGGTTGTTTATGAGTGGTTTCTCCAGCATCAAGAACGTGTGAATATCACAGGAGAATTAATTTTGCAAAAGGCAAGAGATACAATGAAACTCGTGTACCCTCATGATGATTCAGATTTTAACTTCTCTATAGGATGGCTTGGGAAATTCAAGCACCGACATGGCATAAAGTCATTTCGTCGTTTTGGCGAGAGTGGGTCTGTTGATGTACAATACATGGAGCAGAAATTGGTATTGATTCGGGAGAAAATTGACCAGTTCCCTATGAAAGATGTTTTCAATATGGATGAAACTGGGTTGTTTTATAGGCTACAAGCTGATCATTCACTGGCAACAAAACAACTTGAAGGAAGATAACAAGATAAAGAAAGGCTGACGGTAGTTATTTGTTGCAATGAAGATGGCTCTGAAAAAATCCCTCTATGGATTATTGGGAAATATGCAAAGCCTCGTTGCTTCAAGAATGTCAACATGAATAGCTTGGATTGTCAGTATCGAG